CATTGTAATAGTTTTTAGGATCCCTCGACAGGTCAGTCCTAGAACTGATGAGAGGAAGAGCCGATATCTCACTTGGTTGAGATATCCGCTTCAGATTCTTGTTTCCTTGGTGAGACGGGAATTCTTATCGATCTTTCTCTATTATTGTGCACCAGAAACTCTGCCGAAATTTCCGCTGCGCACAACAGAGATAATACAAAACGGGGCTCAACACGTAGAGTTGGTAAGCTAATGTGTTTTCTCACAAGGGGGTTATGTTCAAGCATTGCCACAATGCTTAATAAAACAATTGGAACTTTCTAATTTGTAATTGAGTTAACTAAGTAGGAAACCTATCAATAAAGAAAAGGAAAATATATACACAACTAAAGTTCAAATCATAACATGAACAATTTGGAGATCACTAGAATTATGAATTGGAAACCGAAAAATAATGGATCGATGGCATAGCCGTTTGCTCTTATGTTATTTTCACCTCATGCCATTGTGGCTAAAAGGCTATTATGATAGAGAAATGAAGAGAAAAGAAATATGATAGTGATGACTAAAGGTTATTTATTGACAGTGTAATGAAGCGAAAAGATCAATATATGAAAGGTAGATAAGCAAATTATCTATTCATTTGCCTTACATTCAATAGTAGCTAGTTAATTTTACAAAGTATAGTTTCTCAAAAATATATATATATAAATAATAAAATATTCCTTAATTCATAGACTGTTTTTCAGGGAGCCAATATCAATCAATTATTAAACACATCATCAAACCTTCTATTTTATCTAAATTGAAGATATAAGATTCTGCAATTGGATATAATTCATTGGGGAGTTAATATTGACAAACTTAAGTTAGAACTTTTCAACTATTCTCTTCTTTCCCCTCTTTTTTTGGAATGAACTGTGGATACCTCTCATCCCATCAAATAGCTTCTTGCTTATAGTGTGGCTTTATACTAGCATAAAGTACTCTTTAACCTTTAACTCCGGAATTTCTACCAGAAAATAATGCATCCAAGAACGCAACAAAATAAATTATTATTCCACTCGCACTTTTAATTGATTTTCTGCTTATTGTTTGGCGTTACTATTATTTTTTAAAAGAAAAAAAGCAGGGCAAGACGCCCTACTCAATAAATATATTAGAAATTGTTTGGTATTATTTACAAGTCTATCTTGGCATTTTCTCATCAATATGATAGTTATGGTTTCACCTATATCCATTATTAATAATGCTTGTCCGTTAGTTCGTTTTGCTGATGATACAAAGGTCACATAAAGAAGAAACCAATTTTGATGAATCATACTGTAGTTAGAAGAAAGCACTATTATGGTTTTAATAAAGTGAAAAAAACTAGAAGAAAATGTATTTTCTGGAGAAGAAACCAATTTTGATGAGTCATATATTGTTATTATTTTAGGCTATTTGTTATATATTTGCTTTCATTGCAGAGCATAGTGGGTGCATCTACAGCCTCTCATCAATAATAATAGTATAATTGCAGACAAACACACTGTACTTGTCACGCCCCGGGCCCGCGGGCTCATTGTGCGTGCAAGTCGTAGGGCCCACTGAGGGTAACGTGTTGTTTGGCTCAAACCACTGCCAACATCGGCTAGTACAATACTACTTTCAATTGCTGATAGATTCCTAGCAGTTCTATTGTTGCAAATAGAAACCCTAAGCGTTTTTTTTTGACTTTTTTATCCTCAGGGGGAGAGAAAACTGTTGTTCTTTTTTCTTTCTTTATTTTAACAAATAGACCTCCTGAGAGTAAAAGAGTCAAAAAAATTTGCTCGGGAGCCTATATGTGACAATAGAACTGTAGGGGGTCTATCTGCAGTTGGCGGATGGTATTAGGGTACTATCCTCAATTAATGCTATTAAAAATGAACCATAACAGTCTAGATATTACTGGATGATTATGATTCAAATCTCTAATATCAATGAGGCACTACATATATCCAAATCCACACCATAAACATGTACTAAGAAACTTATCAAGACAACTCACCCTGTGCCAGCAAAGAATGCCAGAGGAATCATCATTTCCCATCCGTTTATACCCATGCTGAAAGAAACAAAATACAAATTCATTCTAACCAGAAAAGAGAATAATGTAATGTTACCAAAGAAATTACAGAAAAAAGTTGCTCTCCTTAATAAAATTTGGCTATTGAAAGAAAAATACCAAACAGAGAGCGCGTCCACAGCAATCTTGGCGTTCTTCAGATTCCCTGTTAACAATAGTAATATCCTGTAATACCAATTCTCCAAGCTGTTGCATTCAATGACCAAAAGAATATATTAGCCAACATACGTCTGATTATGAAAATAACATAATCTGAGTTCAATTAAATGTATTCTTTTTTTTTTTTGTAACTTTTGGTTTGTGGTACAAAAAAGATTAAGAAACTTTTCTGTTGCATCAGAGATGAATCATGTTCTCCTGGACCACAAATATATAATTGTAAGAACAACAACAGATGCATAATCGTATCCATAGTAAAGTTAAGAAATTGCCACAAGAAATTGGGATTAGGTTCATGTCATTTTTGGGTGAAGAAATGGCTGAAAGCAACATGAAGTTGTTTGTTTCCCTTGTATTACATCAAATATAGACCAACGGAACACGCAGATAACTATTTGTTCTCAACTTCTAAACAACTAATTAGACAACTGATCACAGCAAAAGAATCTGAAGCACAAGTGAGGTAATTTGCTAGTCCATTTAAATACAGAAAAGCATAAATTTCAGTATTATTTATTAAATGAAAGAAAACAAGCTAATCTACATTTACAAAAAGAAAGGGGGTTAAAAGGGAAATTTATTTCTGATAATAATTTTCAGAAAATAGATCTGGAGAAACCAATAATTCATATTCTGATGTTAGTCCCCCAAATCTTCATATTTTGAAATTAGTCCCCATATCTTATAATTATTTTTGAAATTAGTCACTCTAGTCATGAGTAGAGGAACGGAAAAGAATGCCAATGAATAAGTTAAATGGTAATATGTGCTCATGAACGAGTTTAATAAGTGAAACTAAGGGTGTGCCTGGCAACAAGTTAAAATTAGGTCAGGACTGAACCCGACTTAATTTTAACTTGTTTCTTGTTTGACAAATTTTCAGACCAAGCCCAAATTTTTAGCCTAAATAGTGCCACTAAACCAGTTTTTTTGGACTCGGGGGGGTCCGGTCCAAAAGAAAACTGGTTTGGTACAAAACTGGGCTAGGACCGGTCCTGGCCCAGTTTTGTTCACTTTGCCAAACACACCCTAAGTTCAAAGCATAAACATAAAGAAAGAGCATAAATACATACCAAAGCATGACACCAGAAGCTGCAGACAGCTTCAGGAAATCCCAAAGCCCAGCAAATGCCTCCATTGAGAAACCGTTCCAAGAATCAGGACATCCACCTAGTGCAACATATCCATACAAGAGAAAGACCGCCACCCACCAAGAGAAATCAAGCGTAAGCGCAGTCCCAATCAATCCAAACTTAAAGTGATACACAAAAAGCCAACTAACAAACAAATGCACAACAAGCGCAATTCCTGCCATTAAGGCAATGATCGAGTTCTTCAGCTGACACTGCAAGAATCTCTGAATAGGGAACAAGAACACGAAGGAGAAGTGAAGTGGGATGAAATACATGGAGACCATGCCAGCTTGAGCAGCGAGATCGGAGGGTTGCCCTAATAGCTCGAGGATGGGAGTGGCGAAGAAGTACATGGGGAGGAGGAGAGTGGCGCAGAGGAAGAGCACAATCCATGATCGTTGCATGTATACGCCTAGCATGTGGTATTTCTTTGCGCCAAATGCTTGGCCACAGAGGGTTTCCAGAGCGCTCGCCATACCCAACTGCAATCGAACATTTTCATTGCTTGTTAATCTTGACATGTATGCATAAATACATTTGGATCGAACATAAACTCAAATGAATTCATAAAATATATACCATTCCGTGCTACATGCTAAATTTCACTGTTTTTCATGCCCTCGATTATGAGGGATATTTGTACGTAGATTATCTATCCAAGACCTAACTATTGGTTTTGCGCATAAACATTTAACGTGTAACAAACGGACATGTACCCCTCAGATAGATCATACGACCCACGGAGACATAGATCCATATATTTGTATTTTCATTGGAAATATTGAGGAAAAATAATAAATATATATTTTTTAAAGTTATGTAACTTTGAATTCAGGAATTCTTAAAACACTGCGCTTTCATATTATGTCAAAACAACTTTATCCGTAATTTATTGAACTGAGAATTAACAATCTATTCAAGTTAAAATAGTTCTTAACAAGTTATTTGCCTTGTAAGTGCTAAAAAATATATCACAAAGAAGTTCATTAATTGTTATTCATAATTAGAGGGAAATGTGAAAACAAGACAAGTTGTAGGTTTAGAAGAAAAGTTTGCTCATTGCAAAATGTAACTCTACGAGTGATGAAATGTAAAACAAATGATATAATCATAGTCAATAATTGGACTAATTATGCAAAGTGCTAACTTTTGCCGTTGAATGATGAACTCTTATTTGGATTGAACTTGATGAAAAAGGCCAACATTGTACACGTGTAGTAGTACCTTGCTTTCCTTGGTTGCAATTATTCCGTCAGTAGTAGACTTCAGTTCATAAGTAAATAATCTGTGTCCCATAATATACTTCTTAACATATGACAATCATCAACTGATTGATTCCAATCATAGAGATTTGGAACTCAATGTTCATTGAAGTATATAATGGCTCCTGAGGAATTCGAGGTTTATAAAGTGGTAGCAGATAGTCTAAGAACACTACATATAATGTGCGAACCTGTTTATTGTTATTATAGAACTATGAATATGAGACGAAAGTTCATTTTCATAAATGACTACTAGCACTACAACAAAAGTCCCATGTGTCCACACTTATCACATCTAAAATTATCATTTCATTTGCAAAAAATTAAATAACAGTTACACAAATAAAATGTGTAGGAAATCATGACACATATTTATATCATTAGATATAAAAAAATAAACTTGACACATATTTATATCATTAGATATAAAAAAATAAACTTGAAAAAGGCTAATGGTCTGACATTGGTTGTGTGAGAATCTATTGATGGACTTAAACAATAAGTCTTAGATTTTAAGTATATTGATGATTAAACATATATGATAGTGTATAAGTCACACAACTCTATGGTTAAGTGTGCTTTGGTGATAGTAATCTCAGGTTGCGTAACCTTCTGGAAAGTTATACTATTGAATGGTAATACTCTTTACATTTTTATAGCCTATACACGACTATGTGCTACCACTCTTAATACATGTATGTGTCATGAGTTTTGTGCCACATATATGTGTCACCACCATCGACACATACGTGTCGTGAGTTTTGCGGCATATATATGTGTCATGAATTTTATGACGCATGTACGTGTCATAAATTTTATCACACATTCTCACATGTATAGCAAAATGATCTCCACACATGCTCTACCCCCACACTTTTGATATGTGTCGCGCTTCATTTATACAATGCAAAAAAGTGTTGTGTAGAGACAAAAAATATATTATAAATTATAGCTTTGTTATAGTGTAGTGAGTTACATCAGTGGTTGTAGATCTCACTACTCTTATCTCTTGATAGCTCATTTTAGTACAAATGAGATGGAAGCTCGTGTGCAAAATCCCTTTGTTGTTATTATTATAACAAAAAATACTAAATGAAAATTTTTGTAAGACAAAAACCAAACTCAAGAATACAATTTTAACTACCCGACTCTCTGTTCATTTTACAAGTATTGTGTATGCAAGAAGTATATTTTGAATACAGAAACTCTTAAGTATTTACTAGTACTTTGAGATAAAGTGGAGGGTCCAGACTAACCACAATTTCTTGGTTCCTTAGATATCAGAACCTCAAATCTTTAATAATTCCATATTAGTCTATCAAATATTTGAAATTGCTCATAACTCCCTCAAATCCTAAGGGGTCTTGCAATTTGGTCTCTTGATCAAAATAACCCAATTAATATTTTTTAATATGAGGGGGCTCTTGGGAAACATAAACCAAAGGTATTTTTGTCATTGAGGGACTAAATTGTAGACCCCTTGGGATTTGAGGGACTTACAAGCAACTTTAAAGGTTTGAGAGACTAATATAGAACTATAGAAGTTTGAAGGACTGGTAACTAAATGACCCTTTTCCAAATGATTTGGAGTAGTTTTGCCAATATAAAGGTTTGGGAGGCAATTTGCAAATATGTATAATTTAACAGTTATATATAAAGAAACCCCAAACCTTAAATGTCTCAGTATTTTCCAAACAAGATACTTCGTAAACTTTTTGAACGCTTCGTAAACTGTTTGAACTGTTTGTATTTTTTTGCTATATTATTTTTTGTATATTAAATAAATCTGTGCATCGCACGGCCTGAAACTAGTATGTATAATTTAACAGTTATATATAAAGAAACCCCATACCTTAAGACAAATTATTTTTTGTCTTTTCAAGACAAATTATTTTTTGTCTTTTCAATTTTCCAAACAAGATGCTTCGTAAACTTTTTGAACGCTTCGTAAACTGTTTGAACTGTTTGTATTTTTTTGCTATATTATTTTTTGTATATTAAATAAATCTGTGCATCGCACGGGCCTGAAACTAGTATGTATAATTTAACAGTTATATATAAAGAAACCCCAAACCTTAAATGTCTCAGTATTTAATGCAATTATTTGGGTTTTTTTATCCTTAAAGTGGCCCATAGTCTTTTCTAGAAGAGCCAGCCACTCCCTTATAAGCTATAGTTATGTAAATAAATATTGAAGTTAGTAGGTAGTCGCGTTTGACTAGAAAAAGTAAGTGAATCCAAATTCATGGGCTTTCTAGATCTGAAGATGCTGACATATATATATAATCAACTATATTAACAAAAACAAAATGATGCAAATTTTACAGCTTTTATGCTTTTCATTTATCACTAATAATATTCACCATGTTTATTCGCGACCGCACCAAAAAAAAAATCCTTAATGATTGAAATAGCCACTCGAGAACAAATCTTATGCATAAATGCCTCAAGTTTGAAAAGTTTCAACTTATTTCCTTAACAAATCAAAAGACCGTAATATCAATGGGATGATTCTAATACATAGAAGTAGACGTAAATGCAAAGCATACAACAGTATACTAACACAAAACAAAAGACAATTAAAAGTTAAAGCAAGAAATACTCATCTATGAAACATTGCCAATGAAAATGCAAAATAAAATCCATAATCACAATCGTCTATTATATTTAGGGGACTGTATAAAAAAAAAAGAACCACCATAAACAATGACGGATGTAGTTGGATGGGTGTGGGGGCATATGCACCCGCAGATATTATAAAAACTCTAGAAATTATCTTAAATTTTAATTGGTGCCCTTACATGGACAACAATTTATAAAGAGACTATTGTTGTAAGTTAGTATAGTTTATTAAAAATGATAATGAAAAATATTATGTGTTGAGATTTTGTAATATGTTATTATATAAATAAGCTTCTAATTCATATTTATAACTGTATAAGCTAGCGCCCCTGTACGGAAAAATCTCCTGGATCAAAACTAACTAAGAGAACGTACCATGAGGCCGAAGTTGAACCCGACGACGACGGTGTTGGCGATGGACATGGATGCGAGCTCGAGGTCGCCGAGGTGGCCGGCGAAGGCCTGGGTGATGACGTTCATGCTGTAGGTCACCACCCTGCTGAATATGGCGGGGCCCTCCACAGCTTCGTCGACTCTATCCAGACCCTCTCCCCTAGCCCGGCCTGTCCCTGACCCTCCCCCTTCAGCAGTGGGGCCCTCTCTTCTCCCCTCTCCATTTCCCCCTCGCTTCTTTTATTTGCTCTTCGGTCGATGAGGAGATCGAGGGCGAAAGAAAGAGATCGATGAGAAGAAGGAAACCAAGTTCGTATTATGCGTGTTCGCTTTCTCTAACTAATAAAATAAAAGAAAAATTCCCCGGAAACCTAAAATATGGGACCAATAAAGAGTAAGTAAAGTGTCTCCCTTCTATTAGATAATGAGTTGGTTATTATTGTTGGAATTATATAATAAAAGATAACTTAAAACTTGACTTTGTAGAGGAAAAGAGGGAAAGTTTAGTCCCACATAGGAAATGGGATAGAAAAAAGGGGTCCTTATAAGCCTTCCCTTTCTCTCCTATGCCTAGAAGAAAACAAAGGTTATGCTCCACACCACACACGCGCGCGCCGGCCGGGCCGGGCTCGGGCTCGGGTTCGGGTCGGGTGGCGTGCGCACACGACCTGCGGACACGAATGCAGCTCCGGATTAATGGGCCCTTAATCTGCTAACATTTTTATTTTTAAATAATTAAAATATAATTTTTATTTTTAAATAATTAACATGTGATAAATATTTTGTAACCGAAATATTTTGTAACGGAAAATATTTATTAGTGTGATTAAAAACGTGATAAACATTTTGCGAATTAATTATGTAACGGAAATGTTTTGATAACGGCTAAGTTTTATTAACGTGATTAAAACCGTGTTAATTACGGGGTTTATAAGTAACGGCTGTTTTTCCCTATAAAAGGATCTAAAATCCGCAGAGTTTAACACAGCGAAAAGCAACAACCTCTTCTTCACCTTCTCTGTTCTTCTCTTTCAAAATACTTACTGTTACAATTTGCTGGTTCCCTGAAAGTTTACGAAGAATTTGCAAAGCCTTCTTGAAGCTCGTGCCGACGAGAAGGAGGTCGCCTGACCGAGGGTCGTTGTATCTCCGGGAGCTTTTGCCGCGTAGCCCTGTACGAGAGGGGGCAATTAGTTTCTTGGGACAGTGCTTGCACGCCTCGACCATCAGGCCGTATTTCTAACCTCTATTTACTTTTCATTTGATATATTTCTTATATCTGCGTTATAATAGTAATTATCTGTTAATTATCAAATTGCTTAAACTGATTTTCGTTATTGTCTAAACAGTTAAGATTCCCAACAATTATTAATTATAGTCAACTCATTATTTAATAAAAAAATGAACATCTTATTTGTCCCGCCTATTGATCTCATATTTTGGGTACACGTAGCAAACCTCAAAATAAAAATCTTAAGGATAAGCGCTAAGTGATGGGTCTCGCGTGGTGATCAAGTCTGAGCGCGGCGTTGGGTGGGAAATAAGCAAAAGCTGATCAAGAAGCGGTCTTGAATGGATACAAGGGGTTGGACAATGGTCCACGTCTTGAATAACAAGGGGTAATTATTGCACCACGTGCTTGGTTTGTCTTGAATGGACACGATTTCGATTATTGATGGTACTGGCCGTATAATTAAATAGGTAAAGCATTAAATATTTTATGTCTGGTCAGTAAATGACGGGTAATTGTTTGCCAAAAATAAAAAATAAAAACGTAAATGACAGGTAATTGTGTTTCATTAGACTCCCGCTTTTTACGGACGAGAGAAACTGATTTGGCTCAACTTTATTAGCTATTAAAAAAGTAGGGGAGGAAATACTCCTCCTAATTATTCTAATTATGATCGCTTATGATTTGATTGATAATCGCGATTCATCTTGCCCGATAAATATGAATCAACAAAGTACGGCTGCAAGTCTTAAATTTTAGGATGACTCATAATCATTATCGAATACTTTATCATTATAATTAAAGTACGGCCTCTCTATTGCTTTCAGACACTGACCAAGAATCGAACAGATTAAGTGACTCGATACTACACTTTAGGAGTTTCAGATACTAGTCTCCTACATCTTCAATAATTGCATCCTGGTCCCTCAAATCTTAAAAATTACATATTCGTCCCTCAAAATCCTTTAGAATATCACAAAATTGTCCTTCAAGTTAAATCATGTTAGTTTTGAGGGAAATATTTTGTAAAACCTAACCGTTGGAGGTGAAATGATTGTTTTTCCCATATATTGCACTCCCCATCCCATTTCCTAATGTGTTTAAAGCTGGTACATGCCTAAAAAAAATCAAATCTGCTCGAGTTCTTCTTTTGCAATGGTTAGAAAGAGCTCTAACTAAAAGTTGAGCCTCTCAAAAATGTTTGAAACATCAGAAAGATTGGTAGTTTGGTGATTGTAGATGTCGGGTTAGAAGTTAAGCCGATCATGGTTAGATTTTTTTTTACTGAGAATACTAATAGAGGGACCATTTTATAAGATGTTATATGATTTCAGAGACTAATATACAATTATTAAAAATTTAGACGAATATCTGAAAACCCCTGCGTCTTAATATTGATGATCATACGGTATATCTTTTATTAATTGTATAATATTTGTACAGTAAATTCTCAACAATTATAATAAACAAGTACTATATTCTCCTCCATTCTACAAGTACTATATTCCCCTTCCATATTTCACCACGTTTGCAATAAAGTATTAAAAACCTAAGCAAATTGATACGTGATTGAGGGCGATGTCGCGGTAGCCCAAATTAGACGGCTCGCTTTGGCCTAGGAAGCGTGAATAACAGAGAGACCGACCAACGACCATTTAAATAAAAAAGAAGAAAATCTTAAACACTCCGGTGTCGTTTTCAGTTTAGTGTATCTTTTAGCATTGCTTCAATGCTCTGAAATTCATTTATAATAATTCCTTTTTTTTCTGAAAAGGGTAATAGAATTGGAAAAGTAAAAAAAATTTATTTCTTATTCCTCCTCTAAATCGTCATTCAGTTCCTCCCACAATCAAATCTTCACCCAAAACAGCCATGCTCGAAGTCCTAATTCAATTATCACGAAGTCAATCGAGAGAAGAACGTCTGAAGTTATATATCCATGTAACAAACTCGGGAGAAAGAATTTAAAAAATAAATAAATAAATAAATAAACAGTGACCAATTACCGAACAAAGGTTACAGATCTCTAGCTCAGGTGCGGGCTGGAGGAGCTCGTCTGAGGCCACATCGGGGTGGAAAACAGTATTTCTGTGGACACTGAGAGCACAAATTGCGGATTTTAATTACCAAGCGTGAGTACTGTCGCCTTTTTTAGTTACGTTTTTGGTTACCGACGGACCACAGCCTAGCCATGGCTTAAAATAACAAGAAATCTCTGAAATTGTATGATCAATCTGAGGATTGTAACATCACATAGCTCAAAACACTCAAAAAAATTATTAAATTCATACGGTCAAATCGTAAGCACTGGGAGAAGGCTCATTTCTCATCACAACACTCCATGCGATTAGGGTTGTGCATGGTTCGGTCCAAACCGAATAAACCGGCTGAGCCGACCGAAAATTAACAGTTCGGATCGGTTTTGTTTGTAGATCGGTTCGAATCGGGTTGAAAACATTTCAACCCGAACCGCCCGAACCGACCGCGTTACTAATAATACTATAATTTTTAACCCGTACTCATCAGAAACCATACACGATCCACTCAATTTAATGATTCCCTCAAATCACAATACATAAATGAAGTGTTATTCTGGCTTGTATACCATAGTTTGTTTTCTATTGTTGAGGATGCACCCACTGTACTATCGCCCAATTGATCCCTAAATGTAATTTCATAGTTCAAACATTGTGAATTTTTAGCTTATGTTCATATGTTTGCTCTATAGTTTACATTCAATAAATTTTTACAACAACATTCTCTAAATAAAATTATCAACTTAAAATAAATCTAAAACAACATTCTCTAAATAAAATTATCAACTTAAAATAAATCTAAAAATTTTACCACGTGCATTGCTCGTGCAATCCTTCCAGATTGTGTGTTTATCAACTTAAAATAAATCTAAAAATTTTACCACGTGCATTGCTCGTGCAATCCTTCCAGATTGTGTGTCATGGTCTACATGAGTGTCGTGACTTCATTTACTGCTTTGACCACGTCTAATAACCCCTAATGGAATTTATTCATTGAACTTTAGAATATACGATTTAGTTATTTTGCCTTTGTAATATTACCTGGTTATATGCAAAATACCTCTCACATGCCACCATCAATCTAACTTCTTTGATGAGAATATTTGGCATTTATTGAGTCATACTTTCAAATGGTTGTTCAAGGTACTGAATTTATTTTGTAACTATAAAATGACGGTGTTTTGCTTAACCTTAAGGACTTGGGTACTCAATGAAACCAAGGTACATAGTCTGATGAAATAAGTAGTTGAAGCTTTGAAGGGTTTATGTCGATTTATTAGTGAAATGTTGTCTTAATAGCCCTTTTCTAAAGTTATTTGAATCCTATCCAGATCTGCTAAAACATCATAAACCTCAAGCGTGCAAAAAAGGTATGATAAAATCAACTATTACCTAATGAAAGTAGTGGGGAGAATAAATTCCCAACGCGCCACATTGCACCACTGGTTAAGCTTCAAAATTGAAAGCAGACGAGATAAGAACAATTCGAAAGACTAATGTTATTAACTGGTACAACATATATCTGAGATCATCATCTCCAAACTGTCACCAATTTGTTGTTCATGTATGTACCTACAATACCAATAAGCATGAAGGAGCCCGAAAAGGTGATGAATTTGGAAAAGTAATGTCACGCTCCACTTCCCAAAATACCCGGGAATCGGAACGTGAACAAGCCCGCGACGTATTAGATTGAGGAGAATATACAATAAACCATTTCTTCTCAATCTAATACGCTAAGCGTCAAGCAAAATAATATCAGTCACAGGTCCCCGATCACAAATAGCAAGAATATAATAAATAATCCAGAATAAAAAATAGACATATTATCAAAAGTAGATCATCCGGGACATAAAATACGGGTCAAACATGCCCTTATTATAAAACGGTCCAACTAAGAACATAAAAATACATCGTCCATAATAAAAGGAAAGTACTGCTAAAATAACTAAATCCAACATTAGACTAAAGAAAAGTATTGTAAAAGAGTTCTAGTGTTCATCAACTACTACAGAAAGAAAACGACTAGGCTTCAGTTTGTCCTTCCACTCCATCTGGAAGACACTCCGGATGGGCATACACC